GCTTGCATGTAAATGATATCTCAACCAAGTGGTTATTTTAAAAGCGGGGACAAAAGGGGCAACGATGGTAGCACGTGTGGCCCAGAGCTGCGTGAGGGCTCGGCGCAGAGCCTGGCGCGGACCGACTGCTCCGGGAGGGACCGGGAGCAAGGTGCACGGGGACAGACGGTTTGGCCGAGGGCCTGGGCCGGTGTCCACGGCCGGGCACTGCCGGGTGCTTACAAATGCCTCCCTGGGTCCCTGGTGCCCGGCCAGTAGGTTGTCAAGCCTCTGAGCTGCCCCCGAGCTCGTCGGGGCTCCCGGGCAGCCGCTCCCTGGCAGGGATGGGGGGGCACGTGGCCCTCCTCCCGCCTCCCGGCCGGGTCCCTGGAGAGGAGGCTGCCCAGCGTGGCAGGCGGGCCGCCGAGTGCCCTCCCCGTCTCGCGGACTGCTCGTATTTTCCGTGTGCAGCAGACCGTGAATTCACCTTCATACTAGTTACAGGGTTATTTAGCTTCTCCTGACACTGACAATCACCAAACTCTAATTCGCTGCCTGTCTTCTCCCCGCTGCGCTCTCTGCCCACCCCCAAAATCCCTGGGAGAGGACAGGAAGGACCTGGTCGGGCCTCCCCTCGCCAAAGCTTGCCCTTCGCAGTGATGGACTGATGGCGGGGCGGGGAGGGGGGTGGTCAGAAGGAGAAGATGATGGGCAGGGGCGGCGGGGGCGGGGGGGGGGGGTGGTTGTCGAGACCAGCGTGGGAGAGAGGAAGTGCCGGGGCTGGGGGACCTTCCGTCCTGCTCCTCTGGCCTGACACTGATGTATTCAACGCAGCCTCTGTCCTGCAGTGAGTGAAGCCTTGGCAGGCGGGGCTGCGCGTCTCAGGGCCGGCAGCCCAGCCAGGACCCACAGGCCAGGACCCCCTGAGCTCCCGGGACCAGGCAGCCGGCCTGGGCTGGCTCCTGCGCCTTCTGCTAGACGGGCGGGTGCCCATCAGGGAAGCGGCCGGAGGGAGCTCTCGCTCTCTCCTGCCTCCCCCCCCACCCCCCGCCCGTCTCCCGTCAGGCCAAGCACCCTGCCCCGCAAAGAATTCTCTCCAGCCGATGGCTCTGTGGCTAATGCCACGCCTCCCTTCCCTTCAACGAAGGCAGGTGGGTGTGAGCACGCTGCTCCCAAGGCAGATGGGAAACAGAGACCCTGAGACATCCCACCGCACACCCCAGGCACAGTCCCGGGACCAGCGTGGGGCGCAGCGCCCCAGCAGGGCGTCCGCGTGCCCGCCGCCTTGCCCCCCGGGAGAGGTGGCGGCAGCCCCGCGCCCAAGGGCAGCCCCCACAGTGTCTCTCTCTTCCAGCTTCCAGAAGGTCCCTGCAGGCCTCCTGTTGGCTCAGGGGCCGGGCGAGCCCAGGGAGCGCAGATGCCTCTTCTCGGCCACCCTCCACCTCCTGATCGCCGTTCCCCCCAAAGCCCCCCCAGGCACGCGAGGGAGCGACGGTTTGCTCTGAGAGCCATTTGGTGGAACCCCAGGGACTCTCATTCCCCAAATCCAAGCTGGCCCATCAGCCACTCATTAGGCAGAGTCCCAGGAGCAGAGTGCTGAGCGCAGAGGACTCCCGGAGACCAGAGGCCGGGCGAGGACCTGGGCGGGGGAGTCTGGAGAAGCTGGGGGCGGGGGAAGGAGGTGGGAAGCCGAGAGAGGGGAGAGGCGGGAAACCCAGGGTGGGTCCAGCCGCGTCCGTGTCCGCCTCCTTCCAGCCCTGGTCCCCGCCCCTGCGGGCAGGGGGAGGTGGCCACCATGGCCTGGGCAACAGAGATGTCAACAGGCCGGTGGCAGAGATGGGAGCAGGGGCTTGTTGACTGCAAACTGTCCATTATGGCTCAGATTATAAGCATATTGCGCAGGGCTCTCTGCACGATGCCGAGGAAATCCAATACGCTGAAAGGTTAATGCAATCAATTAGGGTGACAAGGAAGTAAAGTAAAGCCTTCGGAGTAGATGAAAAGGAGAGAGAGAGAGAGAGAGAGAGAGAGAGAGAGCGCACATGGAGTTGGGGTGTAGCAGTGTGGGTGGTGGGAAGGAGAGGAGGGAGAGAAACTGGTGGGATGCGGAGAGAAAGCTGGGGGGCGGGGGGCGGGAGGGAGAGGTGTACAAGAGGCCAGGGGCCCCTGCCAAGAGGACAGGGAGGGAGACGGCAGCGGCGGCGGCGGCAGCAGCAGGGGCGGGCGGCCAGTGGCCGGTGCCAGGACACAGCTCCCTGGTTGCAGACCTCTGACTACTGCACAGCTTCATTTCCTCGCCCGCCCCTCGGCCTCCCTCCCTCCCTCTCCGCCAGCCCTTCCTCCGGGGCCTGGAGCCCAGCTCCCACATCAGCTCCCAGCACAGTAATGTGTCCGAGTGGCTGTGGTCCCTGCCCCTGCGCAGGGCAAGTGCCCACCCCGCAGCCTCCAGCCTCCCTGTGGGCGGCAGCACCCCAGCATGACCTGCACAGCTTTCCCTCAGCACCCTGGGCACCCTAGCCCCGACCTGCAACAAGCCTGTGACATGGGTGGGAGGGCGTCGTGGTCAGGACCCCTTTCACAGATGGAGAAACTGGTGACGCAGCGTCCCAGGCCACAGCAGCAGACACGGAGGACCCAGGACTGACCTGAGATCTCCAACAGCTCCTAGCCCACTACCTAGGAGGAGGTGCGAGCCTCACCTTTTTTGAGAAGTCAGACTCAGAGGTCTCGGGACAGGGGTGGGGGACTCCGTGGAACCCGCCCAGGGGGAGGAGGAGGGGAGGCTGGAGAGAAGGAAGGAAACGGGGGTGGGGGGGGGACCAGTTAGGCCCCAGGCTGGACACCTGCGACTACATTAACTTGCTCACTTGTCCCCAAAATCCTGCAAAGCGGGCGTTCTGCTCACCTTACAGAAGAGGAAATGGTGGGCCTAAGAATTTGCTAAAGACTAACAGGGATGCCGGGAGCAAGAGGCCCAAGGGAGCAGAGGCTGTTGCAGGGCCTTCTAGGGAGATGGGACTGAGCAGAAGCTGAGGCCCCCCAGGGAGGAGGGAGAGAGAGCGCCCCCCACCGATAAGGATGCAAGCAGCCCAGGACAGGGCTCCGGGGCTGCTGCCCGGGCCCCTCAGAGCAATTAACACAGGGTGGAACTGGAGGGCTGCACAACCTTGTCAAGTTCCTAATGCCAGGGAACTGTCCTCTTCAAAACAGTTACAATGTTAAATTTCATGTTTTGTATATTACCACTTAAAAAAGAGAGAGAGCCAGAGCAGAAGGCAGGAGCCAGAACCTCCAGAGCAGGAGCCAGCACATTTTTTCTGTCAAGGCCCAGATGGTAAATATTTCAGGCTTTGCAGGCAAACACCCTCTGCTGCAGCTACCCACACTCCGCCACTGCAGGGCGAGAGCAGCCGGAGCCAACGTGAAAACGGGTGGGCGTGGCTGTCTTCCAATAAAACTTTATTTACAGCACAGGCAGTGGGCCACCTCTGGCCCGTGGGCTGCACTCAGCCAAGCCTTGCTGCAGGGAACGGGAGCGTCTAGGGCTGACTTTCAGGACCAGGGGGGCCAGGCTCCGTCCCGGTGTCTGGGGAACAGAAGTATCCCGTCTGGACCTTGCCAAGAAGCGGAGGGAAGCGATGGGCAGAGGATGGAGAAAAAGGAGGGAAGAAGCACAGGGCTGGCAGGAGACACAGACGTCCAGCACCCGTCTGTCCCGATCCCACCATCCTAAGAAGCCCTTCACTGTGCGGACGAGGGGAAGGGGTGGAGCCTTTCGGGCTCCCGACAGTCTCCACGCCCCACGCTGAGAGGGGTGTGAGGCTGTGGCTAAGGGAGAGAAGGAGGCCCGGAGTGGGGCAGCGGGCTGGGCCGGCCGGCAGGGACACCAGCGGAGAGGAAGGCGAGGGGAGAGGCCCGGGGCGCGGAGCTGTAACCAGGGTGGTGCTGGTGGCAAAGGGAGGAATCCACGGGCCCCAGCGAGAGCGCAGGGCGCGGGCCGGGCCTGCCCTACACCGGCCGCCTCTGATCACGTTTTTCAGGGCCACTGCCCGCCGGCACAGACAATGCCGGGGCAGCCTTTGAAGTCCCAAAGAGATGCCGCGGTGGGAGCCTCCCGAATCTCCTCCCTCCGCCCCGTCCTCCGGCGGGAGGGGGCCGTCGGGACAAAACCCGGAGCCGGTCGCAGCCGGCCCCAAAACGCGGGAGACAAAGGGAAAACAAACAGGTTTGGAGCCAGGCGCACGGTGCCCTGTCTGTCCCCCGCCCCGCAGAGCGGCGATGATGGATGGCCGCAGCCAGTCGGCTCGCCTGCCGGGCAGGCCCCGCTATTTACATAACACTGGCGTTCCACCGGTCACCTCTGACACGGCGCTGCCTGGGGCCTAGGCCCGGTGGCCCCCGGGTTCCTGGAGCCACTCGGGGGTCTGACGGCGCCTGTGAAGGCCACGCCTGGGGAGCCGGAGGCCTGGGGAAGGGCAGGACGGCACAGCAGCCGGCTCCGGGCTCCAGGCCTGAGGCCTCCTCCCTGCCAGCCTCACGTGGAGGGAGGGGCCGGCAGCCTCCTCCCGAGTCACCCAGGTTCCCCGTGCCCGAGCCACAGCAGCGGGCCTTCCAGGGGCAGCCGGCGGCAGGCAGCCCCCAGAGCAGGCACACGGGGCTGCTGAGGGCTGAGCGTCCTGCCGCCGGGCCGGCAGGCAGCCCTGGCACCACAGGTGCCCCTCTGCCCCGCGCCACCTCGAACACGTTCTCTGAGCCCAAAGACTGCAATCCAGGTGTCCCCAGGCCGTTTCCGGCTTAAGAGCCAACCTGAGACATTCCTCCCGAGGAGGCCCCTTTCCCACCGGGTTCAAATGGGCAAGGTGGCCCCCGTTCTCGGTCTCCTCCGCCTTCCCAGCCCTTCCTGGGGGCTCGGCAGGACCAGCCCCAGCCCCAGCCCCAGCCCAGGGGACGCCTGCAGTAAGGAGGCCAGGGGTCGCCGGCGGGGGAGGGGACGCTGGGTCAGGGAGGGGCTCAGGCCTTACCTTGCAGCAGGTCCTAGAGGTTCCTCTCTCGCAGTAGGGCGTCACTTCATCCTGAGGGGGGAGAGAGAGGAGCCCCGTTAGCTTTTCCGACCAGGACGCCCCCCACTCTGCCGGGCGCCCGAGGGCTCCCTGCCATCCCCCCCCCCCCCAGGGCCGAGGGGCTGGTGCTCCAGGGCCGGCCAAGAGGGTCAAACATTTGGACACACTGGAAGGGCACTGATTTTGTCTATGCCGACCAAAGTTTGACAAAACTCAGCGAGCAGTAAGGGCTGATCGCTGTGGAAATACCATCCTCAGGGCACCCCTAACCAGAGATCAGAGGCACGAGGTGGGAGTGTGTGGGGGTGGGGGGGTCCCCCCAGGAACTGCAAGCCAAGCATCGTCGGGGCCTGGGGACAATGACAGGATCCGGCAGCACCCACTCCTGCAGTCCCTTCCCCAGCCCCTGGGAATAAGACGACGGGTGCCAAACTGTTCACGGTAGCCAGTGGGTGACAGAGGGTCCGGGGCAGACCGGGGCCACGGCCTCAACTCCCAGGAACAGGCTGCCGAGGGGGCCTTCCACGCCGGGGTCCTACCCATGGGTCACTCAACGCTGGGTGGGGCCACGAGAGGAGAGGGCGAATGGTGCTACCGAGCGGGTCTTGGGTCACCTCGCTGCCCGGCCCGCCCGGCTCAGGCCCTCCTCCTCAGAGCGAGTTTGGGGAAGCCAAGGTCAAGAGGACAGACTCCCTTGGATGAAAAACCCAAGGAGCCCTCCGCCCGCTGACCTCGGCCCCCTGCCCCGGCCTGAGCCGGGCCCCGCCTCTCCCAGCCCCAGCCCCACCCCTGGCCCCAGCACCGGACCCACAGTGGGAAAGGGTTTTCGCTTTATTGTGTGTTTTCTTCCCCACGCCTCGTCTGTGGCTTATCAGGGATGCAAGAGGAGTAACACCCGTTTCCTTAGGCTGTGTAATCCCCAAATCAGATTGGGGGATTGCGAGAGGTGAGGTGACCTTGTACGGGGCTCCCAGAATGCCACCCACTCCCGCTGCCCACCCGCCCTTCTCAGGGTGTATTTAGACAGACGGTGTTAATTGTGCCTGACACGCCCTCCTCGGGGGGCTGGGTCCTCTGCCAGCCTTTGCCCAGCCGCCTCGGCAGGGGCGCCCACCAGGGCAGAGCCCGCCTTGCTGGACCCAGGGCTCTGGTGGGCATCGAGTAGCTGGGGAGGGCTGCCCCGTGGGCCTCTGACGCCCGCCCACCCGGTCCAGGCGGTGAGAAGCCAGGGGTCGGCGGGGAGCTGGGCGGACTGAGATGGGGGGCAGCAGCAGAGAGGAGGGGGGAGCCACGCCAAGGCAGAAGTGGGGGCGGAGGTCGGAGGGGTGGGAGAGGGAAGAAGTGGGGGAGCAGAGCCGGAGGAAGTGGAGGCCCAGCAGGGCCGGGCCACGGGGCAAGGGGTGGAGACCCCGGGGCGCGGCGAGGGGCGCTGGGCGGGCTGGGCTGTCCCAGCTCACGTCCCAGCTCACGTCCCCGCCGGCCCAGGGACCCGGCCGGGCCCCGTCCATTCCCGCACGGGCCCACCTGAGATCTCTCCAGGGCGCCCCGGCCAGCCTCCCCCGAACCCCCAAAGCCCCCCAACTCCACAACTCCGGTATCTCCCTTCCACCACCTTTTTTCTCCCCTCCCATCCTCCCCGGCAACTGTGCATTTATTAATTCATGAGGCACTAATTAGTTCTTTGTTTAATTTTGTGTTAAACAGACTGACCGGAATGATAACGATTTACCGCGCGGTGCTGCCGTCCCCAGCCAACCCTGTTTTCCGACAACAAGGGAGCGCGGGAGACCGGAGTGCTGAACCCAAATCCCTCAGCAGTTGCACTTCATTAAGTCAAAATGTGACAAGAAGCTTAGAGAGCAACTTGCAGATCTGATCGCACAGAACAATCGGGGAGGAAACTTTCCAGGAGTTGGTCGGGGTGGAGGCGGAGGGGGGACGGGCGGGGACGTGCCCGCCGTGTGGGGACGGGGGGGGGGGGGGCTGGGGGTGAGCCGGGGCTCTGTCCCTCGCCCGCCCCCGGGGCAGGTGGCCTGGCTGACAGGAGTAGAGAGGTGGTAGGTGGGTGGCGTTTGGGACACTGGGTGGGTTCCGGAACCCCCCGTGGGGACCTGGGACGTTCAACTTCATTTCTGTGTTCTTGTCCGGGCATCTTCTCCTGTGTGTCTCTGCGTCTCTCGCTGCCCCTGGCGTCTGGTTCTGGCCTGTGTGGGTGAGGGGGTGGGCGCAGCCAGGGCCCAGCGGAGGACGGGACAGCTGCTGCGGTGGCCCAAGGAAGGGTTCTGTGAGGCCCGGGGGGGGGGGGTAGGCACAGAGCAGGGACACGCAGAGGGGAGCAGACGCCCCTACGCGTAGGAGGGCTGAAGTTAAGCCCACCCTCACTGGCTACGACAGAGAAGGAACATGCCCAGAAATCACAACCCCTGTGCCCGCTCTGCGCCAGCTGCGCGTCCACACGACCTGCTGTGTCCTACGTACTCTGACCGGAACCCTGAGGACCAAGAGGGGCAGTTCTCTGTAGAGGTCCCCGGCCAATCAGAGCCAGGCCCAGGCCCTGGCGCTCCCAGGCTGTGGTGGCTGACCGCGGGCGGGCAGGCAGCTGGGCTGACAGCGGCCTGGGGCCGCTCCCTCCGGAACAGGAGGAAAAGCGGGAATGTCCGTCCACCCCCAGGCGTCAGGCTGGGACCCCGCTCTGCTCAGGGCAGGAGCAGAGCAGAGCAGGGTGGGATGGACATCCAGCCCTGCCTCGGGGCAAGGCCGGCCCCCGCCCTCCTGGGACCTGACCCTGGTCTCCAGGGTCCCGCGCACGTGGACAAGAACCCAGGAAGGGGCAGAAGAAGAACGCAGAGAGCGCTGACAAACAGGAGCCCGGTGGAGACCCTGCTGCCTTCCTCCCATTGGCTGCTGCGCATGTCCAGGTGTGGCCGGGCCCTCCCACCGAGAGCCCGCCCAGGCAGCCCACGCTGGGCCAAGGCAGACTCCACCGCCCAGCCTGGCCCCATGCCTTCCCCTGGCCAGGCCGAAGCACGGTGGTCTCTCTCTCTCTCACCCGGGCCTGGAAGCCCTGGACTGGCTGCTGTTAATTTGCTATTAGTCTGCCTAAGCAAACCAATTAAAACTAATCATTAATTATAAAAGAGAGAGCAAGAAGAGCGAGGAGAGGGCGAAAGACGGGGATGGGAAGGAGAAAGAGGGAAAGTGGGGTAGACACGGAAGACCCAGGGAGCGTGCTGGGCGTGGGGGCCGCGGGCCCGGGAGCTGGGAGGTGCTGGAGCGGAGGGAGGGCAGGAAGGCAGGCAGAGAGGGTGCACAGGGGGCTGCCTGGGCCCCGGGGCTGGGGGGGAGAGAAGGGAGAGGGGCCTGAGGGGAGGGTGAAGAAGCTGCCGGGACCCGCATCCCGGGACCTGAAGAGGCCTCACCCACCTGCGGGCCCCCCTGGCTGGGGCCGCCAGCTCGCCAGGGCCTGGCTTCCGACAGTCTCACCCCCGGCTCCCGGGGTCCATGTTTATGAGGCCCAGCTGAGGATGCGGCACCAGGCCGGGCTCCTGGTCCCCGCCGCGCCCCTACCTGCTCCTCAGGCCACGGAGGCTCAGGGGCAGCTGTCGGCCGCCCTTCTACCCCCCGGCGCTGTCCCCTGCCCCCTCCCCCCTCCCCCCATGCTCACACACCCCCTCCCCGGCCGGGCCCTTTCACAGGGGCTGGGCCATGTCAGCCGGCAGCTTGAGGAGGGGGCAGCGCAGACAACAAGGGGCAGTGTCATGGAAACGGGCACTTTCCCCGGGAAGTATTCTGTTTGGCCTCCTTCCCGCATTGAGGAGCTGTCAGGAGTCTGAGTGAGGGCCACACCACCCCGGGACCAGGCGTGACAAAACCTATTTTCTGCCTCCAATTTGATTGATTAAAAAACTTTTTAGGAAAACCATGTTAAAAGAGTGAAAAAAAGAGAGAGGGAGAGCGAGAGAGGGAGGGAGAGAGACCAGGGGGGAAGAAGGAGGAGAGACTAGAGGTGGGACCGGGGAGAAGGGCCGGAGGGAAAGGCCATGGGCAGCGGCCAGGCGGCCACCCCGGCGCTGACGCCAGGGCACGCGTGTCAGTGGGGCGGCCGCGGCGTAACCGGAAGGTCAAAGGGAGCCTGAAACCCGTACACAGTGGTCAGTGGGACAGTGAGGAGCCGAGGGCCCCAAAGCACAGTCCAGCAGGTGCCGCCGGAGATGGATGGGGCGGCACCAGGCTGGGTCGCCTGCCCCAGCCCAGGGAAAGGCATCGGGCCCCCACCCCCAGGCAGGCAGGCGGGCAGGCAGGCGGGCGGGCAGCAGGCGGGGGTGGCCGCCCGCCCCCGGAGTCGAGCAGGCCTCTGGATGGGCTCTGGGAGTTTCCAGACACAGTCCTGGCTAGAATTTGGCCCAAGTCCTGAAAACTCTGCCCGCGGACCAGAGGGACGCTCTGGCTGTGTGGGGACGGGAAAGGGACTTCCCCGCCTTGTTGTGTCCAGCCGGGGCTCCGGGAGCATTTTAATGAAGAAGTTAAGTGAGCTGGGAGGTGCCCAGCGGACCCCTGTCCTGCAGAGCGGGGGCGGCCTTTGCTGGTTCCATGCCAGCCTGGGGCCTCGTGCTCCTCCCCTCCCCACCCCCCTCCCCATCTCAGACTTGGCAGCCTTGGGTCCCCACACCAGCTCGCCCACTTTCTTCTCCCATCTCAGACACCGAGACGGACCCCCCTCTCTCAGGGCTCCCTCCAGGGGAGGAGCCAGCCTCCTCACCCCTCCTGAGACCCCACAAGGGGAAGAAACACCTGCATGTCCCGGGGGGGGGGACTCCAATCCGCCTGGCAGGACCCGTCCTCTCCCCGGGAAGAGGGGTGCAGGTCCGTGGGTGGGTTTGTTCCCCCTCTGTCTAAGGGCCTTGAAAATCAAGGTTAGTGGCGGTTTCTGGCCAAGGGAGTCAGCAAGGTTTCCCCAGGGTGCCGAGAGGGGTGCCCAGCGGTGTCCGGTCTGCCTTCGCCAGCTCCGCTCAGGTGAGGCCGTGCCTGCCCCGGATGGACAGGCGCGTTCTGCGGACAGAGGCACAGACGGACAACACTGCTCCAGGCCCTGCCCAGCCCTCTGCCGGGGAGGTCCAGCCAGGGTCACTCCCCACCCCTGCTCTGCCGGGACCCTCAGGGACTGGCTGGGCACAGGACGCCGGGCGGGGCAGGAGCAAGACAGAACATACAGCGTATGGAAGGAAGGGCAGAGTCGGGGAGCCCCGGGCCGGACGCCCACCCCTGCCCCTCAGTGCCACGGGACCTGGGGGACGCAGGCTGCTTGACTTCTGTCCGCCGAAAAGTGGGGATACCAGAGTCCCCACCTCAAAGGTAGTTCATTCGGTACCTATTCCTGGAGCACCCACGTTATGCCACATACTGTCCTAGGCCCGGAGAACAGACGGTGGCCAAAAGAGAGCGCCCTGGCGGAGCTTCCGTGCCCGCGCTGTTACAGAGACCCGAGGCGCAGGGCCCAGCCCTGCGGTCCGGCGCACAGGAAGCGCTCGACACATGTGACCGGTCCTGCGCTCCCAGAGCCCTGCGCTCAAGGAGCCAGGGAGAGACCCAGCGATTCTGCTCCTGGGAACACACCCCAGAGCGCGGAGAAGACGGACTCCAGCCAACACGCGTGCGTCGCCGTTCACAGCCGCTCTACGCACACTCGCCGAAAGGTGGACACGCACCAGCCGTCCGTCCGTCCGTCCGTCCACCCACGGATGGCCGGGTAAACGACACGTGGCCCAACCGCACGAGGGGCTCTTACTCAGCCGCGGAAAGGAGGAAACTCTCCCGTAGGCTACGCCAGAGACGACGAACCTTGAAGACGCGTATGTACGCGCAGGCAGAGAAGCCAGGCGCGGCAGACCACGTGCCGTGTGGTTCCGTGTCTAGGGAGTGTCCAGAGTGAGCCAGCCCGCAGGGGCAGAAGGCGGGTGAGTGGTTGTCAGGGGCTGGGGGGGAGTGGGTACGGCGGGGGGGCGCTGCCACTGGGCCTCCAGTTTCCGTCTGGGGCGACAGGGAAGGTTGGCAACGGGGTGTCAGCGGTGGTGGCACAGCAGCAGCGTTGCAACTGTACTCGACGCCAGCGAACCGCTTGCTTTCCAAGGGTCACGACGGGACATTTCGTTGTGTGTATTTTAGCGCAACAAGGAAGGCGAGGAAGCAGGAGCAGCAGCAGTGGGAGAGGAGGAGGAGGAGGAGGATACCCGCCCCCCCGTGGCAGCCCAGCCTGCGTGTTAGAAAAGCCAGTCGAGGCAGCGGGAAGGCGAATCCACCGTCGCAGGTGGGTCTGCTTGCCCTCTGGTCCCCAGGACAGCGTGGACCACGACCGCCCGACGGGTATGCCTGAGGCCATGCCAGACCTTTGCAGGAAGGGACAGCAGAGGAAGGCCAGGCCTGCTCCCGTGATGGGCCTCGCCCCCAGGGCACGCCCCTCAAGGGCCCACGACTCCGCATCCCCAGTGCTGCCGGTCCCCTGCACACGCACACACCGAGTCTCCTCTCACGCGTGGGTCCCAACACACGCACCGCCCAGCCCACCCCGGTCTCTGCCAGGCTCCCAGGGAACCTCTGCAGCTGCCCAGCAGCTTGGGTGACCAGCCGCCCGCCCTCTGGCTGGAGGAGGAGGGCCTGAGCCAGTGCCTCTCCACCCCCGGGACCCTAGGACACCCCAAGTCTGGGGAGCTCTACCTTGCAGGGAGAGCCAAGGATAACCAGAGCCAGGCCTTGGGGGCAGCCCCCCAACCCTCAGCGTGCCCCCCACCCCCGCCTGCTCCCGAATGCTGTGCACACAGAAACCCTTGCCTTGGCCCCGGAACTGTCAGGAGATCGACAAACAAAAGCTGCTTCTTGACAGGGAGTCATTTATATTTTAGCTTCGTTCCATTATCCTAACGAATCCTTCATCAGCAGATGCAATATTAACAGCAGAAAATCAGCTCATTACATCTGGGGGGATTTCATCAAGACAGCAATCATCTCCGCGGCTCCCCAAGCCTTCCAGAGGCCAGTGTGGCTGTTATTTATTTATTTTGTTACTTATTTATTTCATTTTTGGGGTTCTTGCCACGTAATTGCACCGCGGCTCAGATCTTTAATAAATAATTTGCTGGGCACCCCGCACTGCACACGGCTTTGCTCTCTGCCACGAGAGCCTGCGTTAGCCAAAATATTTACCAATATTTAGGAGTCATTAGAGTCAGGAGGGAAGTGGGGAGGGGGCACTCAGTTCTTGTACAAACGGCAGGTGTGTGGGTGGGGGGCTACGGGGCTGGCCCTCACTCCAGTCCTCCCACCCCACCCCTCGGTGCGAGGGGAGCTGTCTGGACCAGAAGCTCCCGGAGGGCAGGCCCAGGTTGCTTGTCTGGGTTCGCGTAGTGGGAGCAGGGGACCCCTGGGATGTGGCCGTCCCTCGGGGTTACCATGAGCTCCTCACGGCTGCTGGAAGGCTGCTGGAAAGGACCCACTGGGTGCAGGGGCAGGAGCCTTCCCGTGCCTCCGAGCTGGGGTGCTCCTTCGGGGCGGCTCTCCCTGGGGCCGGCCGGCTCCCAGTGCTGGGCGCCCGGCGAAGGACAACTTCAGCCCTGCTGCGGCTGAGCATGAAGAAGAGCCCGACCTGGTCCTCTCAGCTTCCCCGGGGTTGGTATGCCTCTGCCTTCAGGGGGGAGGGGTGCTGCCGGTCCAGAAGGCAGGCTTGTCCCGTTTGCAGATGCCAGAACTGAGGTCCAACACACTTAAGGTCCCTCCCCCAGGCCACACAGCCGGGGAAGGGGACAGAGGCAGGACGGACATTTGGAGGGGCTCGGCTGTGCCCCCAGTCCTTCCGCCGGGCCCGAGCCTCACAGCGATGCGGCCTGGCCTTCCAGAGGCTCCCGGCTGCAACCTGCAGGCCGAAGTGGCCGCCGGGGCCACCCCCCCCCTCCCCCGCCCCGCCACCGCCACCGCCACCGCGGCCGCGCCTCCCCGCTCTCGCAGGTTTTCCCAGCAGGGTCTGGACTCCTGCCCAGCCAGGAACATGCTCCCAGGATGTCAGTTCTAATCTCCCCAGCGCTCTGACAGAATTAAGCCCCAGTTTGTCCGACAACATCCCAAAGTTTCAGAAATCCAGGCCAGACTCTCTAATCAGGCTGTGGGACAAAGGTCTGGCCTGACCTTGTCACTTCCACTTACGCCTCCTGTCCGTCTCCCGGCTGCAGCCTTTCTGCGGGTTCCTCCCTGCCCCCGCCCCCCCCCACCCCCGCCCTTCTCTGGCCAGCGCGGCCCTCCCTGGCCTCCCAGCTCCCCTGTTTCTCCGCCCAGCGCTTGCCCTCTCCACGCAGCGGCACTAACCCTGCTGCCCCACTGTCTACGGCGGCGGGATTCCTGAGACGGACCTGCGGCCAGCCCTGGGCCTGCTGGCTGCACCTCGGCCGGGGCTCCCTCTGGTTCAAGGCCCCCCGAGGGAGTGCACAGGCTCGGCCCCTCCCTCATCCCAGGGAGAGGGCGCCCAGTGCAGAGTTGTTCTCAGACTGAGCTTCTCCTCGCCTTCAGCCAGTCTGACTCCGCGCTCCCCGTCACTGCCCCTGAAGCATCCTTCAGCCCCGCCCAGCCCCCCTCCTCTTGGAGGGGTCAGCTCGTGGGCATGTCTGGGGACACCCCTGTGGGCAGAGACCTCCCCTGCTCAATCCGCCCTTCAAGGCAGAGGGCAAAACACGGGTGGAGGACAGCAGAAGCAGCCCTGAACTTGGCCGGGACAGGCAGAGCCCACGGTGAGGACCCCAAGCCCTTGGCTCTGCCAGACTGTGGCCACTCGAAAGGGCTGAGGGGCCCGGGAGCTGGACAACGTGGCCAGGAGGAGTGCCCTGCGTAGCCAGACGGCGGGCAGCCCCCCCAGGACGCTGGAGGAGCAGAGGTGCCTCTTTCTCCATGACCCCCGACACCCAGCTCCCTCCCCTGCTGCACGGCGTGTAAGGACCCGGAGCACTGCCCCCCCCCACCTCGGTCCCCAGAGGGAGTCAGGTACACGAGCCGGTTGGAAGAGGCCAGCCCTTCACCGCTCAGAGAGGCATGGCTGGGGGCCGCGGCCTGGATCTGGCTAGCTCACGTGGAAAGACTCACGGGGAGCAGAAGGCCGAGGGGGGAGGGGGGACGGTCGAGAGGGCATCAGGTGCTGCCGAGTGGGAGCCAGGGCGCTGACCAGAAGACTGGACGAGGGGCCGGGGCGCCTCCGAGACAGCGGGGGCAGGGGGCGGGAAGGCACATCCGGGGCAGAGAAGAGGCCCCAGGAGGAGGAAACAGGGATGGAAACAGCACTCCGCCCTTTTGCTGACTCTCCAGGAGGCACAAGAAATCCAGAGTGGCCAGGATGGTGTGGGGGGCGGGGGTCCCCCAAGAGACACCTTACTGGCAGGGAGCTGGCAAGTCCTGGAGTGCCACAGGCAGGCAGGGCCACGCCACGGCTCCCCCGGTTCCCCCTGTGGCCCGGGCAGAGACCTCGCCGTGGGCGTGGGGTCCCGTCCTACGCCGGCCCAAGCCCTCCCCTTCCCAGGTCCCCTTGGCCACGTGTGAGGACTGGGGATACCCTTCCTCAGAGTTGATGTGACGGGCGGCACCCCACGCCCTAAGAGTCTCTCCTGCATTCTTCCGACACCCCCCCCCCAGCCCACGGCCAGCCCTGCCCGCACGCAGCCCGGGCGGCGGAAGGGTTTGCCTGGAGACTTGGGGGGCCGGGGGAGGGACAGGCGCGGGAGGAGAGAAAAGTCACTGAGGAGGATGTCACGTCTCTTGAACCAGCCCTTTCTCGGGGAGAATAAAAACAATTGCAGTATTTTTTACTTAATACCAGAAAATCCTACGGAGGCCTCCTGGAGAAAGGAAGAATCGCCCGCGTGTCCGTGTTTTTGGAGGAAACCTCAGCGGTTCCCACGGCCCCGCCCTCCACCCCTGCCCCCTGCAAGGCCACGGTCCCGAAACCTCCGACGCGGCGTCTCTGCCTTTGCGTCTGCCTCACCTTTCCGCCCTGGCTGCGCTGGGTGTTGGTGAGTTGTTGGTTTTTTTTCTTTTTTGCAATTTATCAGCAGATTGTGTGGAGCTGAGTGGTGTGAGCCTCACCCTGCTAAATAAAGCTTTGGTATTTCTGATAAAGCCATCAAATTCCTTATCACACTGACACAAAGTGCATTTAAAGAGACAGACACCCTGTCCCTCCCTCCCCACCAGCCCCGGCTCCCTCCACTCAGTTCAGATTTCCAGCGACTCAGGCGCTTCTGGGTCCGACACCAAATACGGCTGCCCGGGGTGTGAAGGGGGCGCGGGGAGAGGGGCGGGGCCTGGCGGCGCTCTCCAACTCCCACCCGGCCGTGAGCGAGGACTCGTGTGCTTCCTGCCCCCACCCCCCCGGAGCCAGGGGAGGGCTCTCGATAGACGCGTCCTGCAGCAGGGGACGTCCTCATAAACAGGACAATCCTGTGTTAGGACAACAGCCGGCAGCTGGAGGAAGAGCCCCCAGTCGGACTTGGGGCCTGCCAGGCGGCCCGGTGGCCGTGAACGGGCCTGGTCGCCTCCGTGGCAGCCGTGCCGGAGCGGGGCGGTAGGGCAGGCCCGAGAGGTCGACCAGGGTTCACGTCAGCCCCGGCCTGGGGCTCAGCACAGCCCTGGTGCCCAACCCAGACCTGCCCAGGGGGGACTGCCACCCCACTGGGCAGATGAGGAAACCGAGCGTGGCCCAGGCGGGCCGGCAGCCCTGCCGAGGGAAAGACCCTCTTCCCCGGGCCGAGTGCCTGTCCACTGCCTTTCCGGTCATGACCCCACACAGACAGGCCTTCCTGTGCCTCAGGGGCCTCTCCCGCGCCACCCCCCCCCCGGCCCCCCAGCCCTGGCTCGGCAGCCCGGGCCCTGTGCCCACACACAGCCTGTTGGTTGAGGAATCAAATTTATTATTTTTAATTATTTTGATTTATCAAAGCAGCAGCTACAATCATATTAAACCCACTTGGCTCCTTGGCATTTAACAGATACAGCTGCCGCAGGACGCCCCCAGACTCCATAAAACACCCAGCCGGTCCACCTGCTCCCCAAGGAGGGCACCTGAGGCCCTTTCTCCCAGAACCCCGAACCTGCAGGTCACCGGGGCCCCCGCCTGCCCCGCCAGGGGCACACGCAGCTGGAGTCACTGAGGAGCAGCCGGTGGGAACTGGACAAGCTGGGGCAGAGCCACCAGGCACCGTAGGCAGCACCACAGCCGGCAGCCTGAGAGACACCCCCCGACAGAGTCCTGACCCCCACCCCCACCCCCAGGGAGCAGAGCCGACCCCAGCACTGCCTCCCAGCTGGCATTTTCTGGGCCTCCACCATCCCAGGCCTGCGACTGGGCACTCAGCGTCGGAGAGCCAAGCTAGCCCTCAGATCCCTGCCCAGGGGAGGGACCCCTGCCCAGGGGAGGGACCACCGCCCCCTTTTTCTAGGGAGCAAGCGGGGCTCAGAAAAGGGAGGCGCACACTCGTAAACACAGCCAGGCCCGAGCTTGAACTGGCTCCCACGGAAAGCAAAGCCTTCCGACCACGCCTCACGGCCTTCCCCTTTGAGCCGGGAGCAGTGCGCCCGTGGAAGACGGCGGAGAAGAGAAAGGTCCCAAGGTTCAAGGCGGTGGGCCGAGGCTGCAGACACCAAACACCGAGAATCTGGGTGCTGGGAAGAAGGGGTCCTTGGGAGGCCGCACTGAGGGGCGGGCAGCACCGGACCCACAGGCTTCTGCAGGTGCTCAGGGCCCGAGGAGGGGCCGGCCCACCGGAAGGGCGAAGCCTGCAGGGGAGCCAGGTCCTGCCCTGGAGTTCGGCCCCGCCCCCAGGAGTCCAGGAGTCTGGCACCCGGAGGCCAGAGCCGTCAGGGCAGGGAGGGACCGGGCACTTCAACATGCGAAGCGAAACCACACACGAAGAGCACAGAGGATCCTGGCAGGGTCGGAAGGGGTGCCTGCAGGGTCCGAGGCCCCCCACCCTGTGAGGACAGCTCTTCACCCCTCAGGGGGAGGCAGATCTTGTGAACACGGGCAGGGCTTCTTGGGGAGGGAGGGTGCAGAGGCACAGGGAGACAGAGTCTCCACACCAGCCCTCTGAC